GCACATTGGACTGAGCTGTTTGTGAGGACTGCATGCGTTTTTGATGCACCATCCCTTGTCCAAGGGAATGCTGCGATGACGCAAGTCGTACAATACCTCCACTCCCCAGCGAGTAAAAGAAATGGTGTCTGCGTGCACTTGGCCGGCGACCAGATTGCGAGAAGCGCCGGTTTCGCGAGACTCTAGTAGAGGCTTGGCTTCTGGTTCCGAGTCCTCCAAGCTAGGGTCTCTCTGCAGGATTCGTGAGCCTTCGGTATTGTTGGCAGAGCGGGAGGAAGAATGAGAGTCCTGCTGCGTCTGTGGCCAACCTCCATTTGTGACTGAGATCGGTATGAAGTACAGTCCAGAGACTGCAGTGGATCTTGCTTTCACTACGTTGGGGTGTGACAGGTCTTGACGTACTACCTGCCCCGTTGCTTCGAGATTCGAAGAGACCGCTATTGGTGCCTGATGGTGTACTGGCCTGGCACCGTAGAATTGTTGATAGTGGACCGTCACTATTCTATACACCGTGGGGTGGGTGACTGTTCTCGTGGACTGGTAGTGTCCCCTCGCTGGTCCAATGTCCCAATCGAGCCCGTAGTCAGAAGGGTCCGCACTACGGTTGAGAACGCCGAAAGCCCAAAGACCACCGATGAATAAGATGCAAATCGCGGAGGCCGTCAAGATCGTCATTATCCGGTGCTTCGCTAATCCTCCTTTGCACATCCTTAGAACTCCAGCCGATCGTTCTTTGCACGTCCTTAGAATTCTTCGGCCTAAACGCTGAGCTCCTGAATTCTGCGGGTGGTCATGATTACGATCACCGTATGAATCCTCGCCGTAGGCAGTCGAGCCTTCAGCCGTCGGGCTGCGTTGCGATGTCTCTATGTTCTGCATTTCATATTGCTGTTGTGTCTCCATCCCGCGATGACGACTCCTATCTCGTGGACCTGCCATGATGGATCTCCCAATGTTGGGTAGCGAGTTCGTAGATTTGGGCAGTTGAGTTCGATTTATAGAGCCTTGGGAGTAGGAAGTGGTGGTTGGTGAAAGTCCGAGTTGGCAAAATCTTAGGAACTAGCACGGAGACTTTATAGACGGCAAGTGCATCCAACTAAGACGAAATCATTCTCGATCCGCTGCCTCTTCGTTCGTCTTCCGAAATGGCAGTCACCACTGGTGGAAAGAGACTTTCAATGACCATGTCTGCATTAGGTATGACTCTATCTTCAACTGTGGATTTAGGTCTCACACAGCTTCGCGGGGATATAAGTCTACCATGCTGCAGGCACACTGTCGAATGAAGCAGCAGTTGTGACGGTATGAGAGAACACCGGATCCCGGAACCAAGAGAGAGGTTCTGCTTCTGTCGAACACTTTGCCTGCCTTATGTTTGCGCATCAAACACAAAAACTCTCGGCTCGACTCCCTCAATCGTGCAAACATGGAATAAGACCATTTCCCAAGACTGCCACTTGTTCCGGCTGCGTGCCTAGTTGCTGGCGCCTAGTTCACAACGTAATCTAGTGTGTACGGCAAGTTGTTGCCGGATCACAAGGCAGTACAGGTAGATTCCATACGATGTATGATGTGTTAGCAGAGACTCATCCGTGGGAATAGGAAGGCGCTGTAATAATCTAGAAGTGCAGATCACCATACTGATGCATGACAGGATTCGTAGAAGGCACCGCTCGAAAATTGAGAGAGAATTGCGTTGAGACCCCAACTGTAGGCGGTCCGGTTTCCATTCAGCCATCGAATATTGAAAAAGCTTCTATGGCTATCATTGGTTTAATGCAAGGCAAGCATCGACTGCCAACCCGACTCTACACAGGAAGCAAGGTCGTCAGCCACAGTGCAAATTGCACAAATACCATGTGTGTTTGCTTACCTGCCCTGCTTCACTCTTACAACATCATTAATGATATCTTTATCCAAATCTGGAAACATCCCTGCAAGGGTTCTAATGGAGTGCTGATTAGCAAGACATTTAATATACGCTTTGACACTGTTACTGACTCCACTACATCCTGGTGCTCAGCTCGCTGTATTCGCTGAGCTTCCGCTGATTCAGCGCTCGCTTGACGTGCAGCCGCATCTTCTGCACTGAGCTTTCTCTCACGGCTCCGACCGGATTTCTCGACCGCTCTGGGCTCTTCGCTGGGTCTGATCATGTCGTTGCTGTTTCGGGGCGGTTGAAACACTGCTGGTGACAATCTCTGGGTTGGATTTGGCTGAAAGGCAGGTCCTGGTTGGGCTCGAGTCCCTGGTTGTTGCGGGTTGGAAACATCATCGGAGAACATCCTACCCAAGCTTGACAAGGGCCTCTGTATGGTTCGTAGCAAGCCACTTACGGCAGTGTGATCATCTGACCCGTCATTGCCAGTAAGGGACCTCGAATAGTCTCGAGAGGACGTGGGTCTCCTCGGTGTACTGTATTCGGCTTCTATGGAGTTCCGAGGAACGACCTCTGGCTGACTCAGTCCAGACTTTTCTGATATTTGCGGGTGAGTGGGATGACGTGGCGGCGGTGATGGTGGGATCTCTACTTCTTCGTGTCTTTCGGCGATGACAGAGACTGCTGCTTCAACATTGTTCTCGAAATCCTCATCAGATATCGTCAGAGAAGTTCGATCAAGGTTTTCAATGAATTGAATCGCTCCCATCTGGTGGCCATTAGGTGAACAATCCTCCCAAGGTGGTTCAAGACTGCAAGCTTACCAGCGAGGAAAGATAGTAGCCTGCTTCTCCACCGAGTTTATCTTGGTTCCTGAAACGGAGTATGTACTGTACATTGGAAACGAGATGGTCAGGGTTAGCGTGGAGAACAACATAGATCAAAAGAGGCACGAATGAATCGGCCGAAGTATCGGAGGCTTTCGAGTTGCGCAACAGACCTGGAATATGTTAGATGTTGCTTTACCCCTATTCGACCCGCCATAATCTTACCAAAGATGACTTTGCAGCAATTCAATACACATATAATTTTATCACGCGGAGCTCTGTACGTTTTGATCTTCAAAAGCTCTGTTGCAACGTCAGGCCTAAACTGGAGCTGTGGAGTTGAGCGATGCCTCACCCTGCTGAGCCAACATCAAAAATCGTCTGCCACTATCGCCAATAGGCGGGATGTCCAGGTGCTTTTCTTGGACCCACCCGTAAATCCGCACCTTTTGGGCTAAAATCTCGTCTCGCTCAATATCTTCTTGATGCTGACCTTTCCTGCCCGGACCGATTGCTCTCTCTACAGCCTTCCTCTTGCCTTTGGCTATCTGAGCAGGAGCTGGTGCAGGAATCGCAGGGGAGAAAGTCTGCGAATAGAGCCTGTTCATAACCAACTTCTCCATACCTTCCTTTGCATTATCAAACTCTGCGTCTGAGACACCTCGCCAAACTTCGCACTGAGCCATTTTGTTTGTTATGAAAGTCAAAAAGTCGTTTATTATTTTGTCTTGTTCATGGACCATCCATTGCTTTTTGCCGAATTCAATGAGAAATGATCTGAGGAATTTGGCTACAGGGTCCGCTGTTCGATGGCGGAGCTGCTCTAGAAACCGATGGAAGTCGAATGGGAGATCAGGTTCAGGGTCAGGCTCTGGTGGCGGCAATTTGGGTAGTGACATGGAAGAATTTGGAGAAGATGGGGTGTTCGTGTCTTGCAACCAAGCAGATTGTGGCAGACTAGAAGTTCGCATTGGAGGTGCTCTAATTCCATCCTCGAAACTAGGAACCTTTTGACCTCGAGCTTCAAGGTCTGACGCGTGATCCCCGGCCAATTGCTGGCCACTAGGTCTCAATGGCTCAAGACTAGACCGTCTTGGAGGATGCTCCATCAGACTCCCCAAATGAGACTTCTCGGTTCCTAGGATTGGCTGACCAGTCCCGTCACCTGCGGTGTTGTCGTTGGCCTCATCGAACTGATCCATGATGCTTTGTATCTCGGATGTGGAGCCATCGTCTTGGGTTTCCGCGGCAATGGCTGGATTCCTCGACGGGGAAGTTTCCAGACGGGGCGTTTTTGGGGTAGGGTCCAAGTAGAGGTCATCCTTCATCCCTTCGTAGCTAGGTCCCTTGGGAAAATCATCCCCTTCTGCCTCTTGACTGCCAGCTTTATCTGCCCGAGAGAGTGCTGGCTCTGGAGACTTAGACGTTGACTCGGCCCTACGCTCAAGCTCCATAGTCTTATCAAATCCTTCCATTCCCGCAACACCTTGCTCTACTCGGCACGGAATCTGGTCTCCATGGTCCAAATCTCCCAGAGTCTGGGATCTTTGTTGGCCGCTGTCAACCTTTGATGGAGCTCCCGCCTTAAGAGAGCTTCTTCGAACCGGGCTAGCTTCTTTCGAGAAATTTTCCGCTCCCAAATTATACGTGGAATCTATGTCTCTTTTTGAGTAAGGGGGGTTGAGAGTATTCGCAGACGGCTCCGTCGAAGACATAGATCCGACCGCATTGAGGAACTGGTAGCTCCGTGTTTGGAAGGTGGGTTATTTGATGTATTACTGGATAACGAAGTTGCAACACTCGATATGTAAGCAGGGGAGTCGTCAGTGATAGGGGACAAAGCCTGTCCTTGATGAGTGAAGCTCTGAAGCTGTACTTAAACTTGGGATAGCTCAAGCCAAGAGCTCGGCTTTTTAGACGCGCGAGCCGCCCTTTGCCACTCAGTCTTGACATGTTTGCTAGACCTTTCCAGCATTTGATAAGTCATCCCTTGGTTTCAGTATGAATTTCCAAGCCTGACCATGCGTGTCCCAACATGTTACTCTCATCTCACCAGAACTGTGGTAAGATATGTCATTATCTTGAGCCTCTCGAATGAACACCGCGTTCTTCAGAAATTTACTATTCCCTGACTCGTGATGTGTGGCATATTCTTTTCTTGCAGTCAAGAGGAGCATCGGCCTGCTAGTGATGCCTTATCAGATTATCTCCAAAGAAGAGGCCCAGATGGAGCCGATTCAATATCACCATCGGTCACTCTCGAGACAAAAGCGTCTCGACACTCAGGCCCGAACATGCAGAAACGGACTTATTTTCTAACCTTCCTCTCAACCGTCTTATCATTACGTGGGAGCTCTGTTGTTAGACAACCATTGAGAGATCCGGAGTCAGGCTCTTCACTTTGTTGGAACGGAGAGGCTTGGAAGATCGGGAACCAATCGATTCAGGGCAGTGATGCTGAATATGTCTTTGACCTATTTCTGAATGCAACAAAAAGACACCGCGACAATGCAGACCATACGCCTGCCTCGCCTAATCATAGTTTGCAAGGTGTCGTTGACATTTTGAGCAGCATTACTGGACCTTATGCTTTCGTTTTATACGATGCCCAACATCATCGAGTCTTCTACGGACGAGATGCATTAGGTAGGCGGTCGCTTCTCATCAGTAGGTATACAACGAAGGATATTGTGCTTTCAAGTGTATGTGATCCCGCAGACTCCGAACACTGTATGGAAGTCGAAGCCGATGGAATCTACGTGCTTGACCTGACAGCGAATGTCGATCGAGTCACTCGTGTCCCCTGGGTGTTTGACCGTTCTAAGTCTGTTTTGACTGGTACTCTGGTGCTACACACTTCTCTCCTCCTTAGATGTCTAAGAAATTGACTAGTGCTAGCGCTCTCCGTTTCCAAAATTTAACACAGAGGTGCGAGCTCATCCGATGCCAGCCCTAAACCAGGATTCTCCAGCGATGAACGACCTTTTCCAAAAGCTCCAACGGTCACTATCCCTTCGTACCCATGGAATTCCTTTACCGCCGTGTCAATTGGTCGCTCCAGCCCGCGTTGCTGTGTTATTCTCTGGGGGCCTCGACTGTACCGTCTTGGCTCGTATGCTCCACGATGCTCTTCCAAAGGAGCAAGATATCGATCTCTTGAATGTCGCTTTTGAAAATCCTCGAGTTGTCAAAGCTGCAGGAGCATCTCAACTACCTAAGATCGTTCGCTCGGCCTACTCCCTCTGCCCAGACCGCATCACTGGCCTTTCTGCTTACTCAGAATTGCTCGCCTTATGCCCAGGACGGATGTGGCGTTTCGTGTCTATCGACATTCCCTTTACGGATACCCAGGCTCATAGGTCTCAGGTCATCTCTTTGATTCATCCGCATAACACGGAAATGGACCTCTCAATAGCATATGCGCTCTATTTTGCTGCGAGAGGCATCGGTACAGTTCATATCGAAAACGGCGACCATGCAATCCATTACACGACGCCAGCCAGAGTGTTGCTCTCAGGTCTTGGAGCAGATGAGTTATTTGGAGGTTACACCAGGCATGCCACAGCCTTCAAGAGCAGAGGCTACCCAGGTCTCGCAGATGAGCTTGAACTCGACTTCAACAGACTTGGAAAACGCAACCTTGGCCGCGATGATCGGGTAATCTCGCATTGGGGAAAGGAAGTACGATACCCCTACCTTGACGAAGAACTAGTGAGCTGGGCTTTGAGACTTCCTATATGGGAAAAATGTGGGTTCGGACAGGTTGATCCCTGCACAGACGGCTCCATCCCGCTACTAGAACCAGGCAAGAAGCTTTTACGATTGTTGGCGTGGAAGCTAGGATTACGAAATGCTGCAGCTGAGAAGAAAAGGGCAATTCAGTTTGGCGCCAGGACGGCGAAGATGGAGGTCGGCAAGAGGAAAGGCACACAGACGTTGTCATGAGACCAAGCGGACTACGAGCTCTGTCCCATACAGCATAGGTCTTTCTGGATGGCAGTGATGATGCTTCAGATACTGCTGAGTCGCAACTTCACGCACAGCAGATGCTTATCATTGTTTTGATCATGTGTTTCCGCGGCACTCGTGGCCAATTTAACCAGATCATGACTGAAAAGCTAGTGCACTAGAAGTCAAACCGCGACAATGATGTGGTATAGGCAAGTCTGAGTCGAAAAACCACATCCTACTAGGTCTTTCACATCCCTTTACTGGGTATTTCCACTGCACCTCTTAAATTGTTGCGCTACTATCCTCTTCCCAGGCCTGATGCCTCGTAGCTCTTATCAGCGTTCATAAAAATTTATATCATTAGCCAAGTCGTCCAGCGTTCTCCCTTTCGGCAGTCGTCATTCATCATCTTTAAAGCTCTCCTTTACCATTTCCTCTATTGCGCCAGCTGGCCTTCGTCATGATTGTCATCGAAGGCTGCGACAGGTTATATAGGTTGTTTTAGGGACAGCTCCTGATTGCCAACTCCGGACAATTCTTCGACGGCTGTCAGCGGTTCACGGGCAATGTGCCACCAATTGCCACTTAGTCAAGAACGTGTTGTTGGGGGTATTTAGTTCGTATTAGGTTCGATTCCTAATGGCGCTGGTACAATGGTGTAACGGTGCTTCTTATTTCTGGCAGCGCCATTAACCACATGTTTTAAAGTTCCGTCGAACGGTGTTGGCGAGGGCTCAGGTTCAAATCCCATGCGACGCATTGATTTGTGAAGCGAAATGTTCCCCGTTAGTCATAGTCCGAGGGCGGACACCTGTTGGTTGTGGTCGTGTTGTTGGGGGTATTTAGTTCGTATGAGGTTCGATTCCTAATGGCGCTGGTACAACGGTGTAACGGTGCTTCTTATTTTCTGAACGATGTAACAGTCAGCTCCCAAGGCGTGGCCGATATAGTAATCTCATTTTCCAACAAGGGCTCTTAGCCTCTCTCAATTCCATCCGTCTCGAGGTTTCTCATGAGCTCCGTTTGCTGCTCTTGGTTCAGAGTCAGAAGCGGTTGGTGAGGGACATAGGGAGCATGGAGATATTGAGAATAGTGTTCGCCGATTGATCCGAGATTCTGAGTGTGGCTGTATTGCGGTGTGAGGTAAGGTTGATGAGATAGCATTGAGGGGAACGAGTTGTAAAGAGAGTCTGGGTCGTAAGGAGAGGCCTGATACGTATTGGACATATGAAGCGATGGCTGCTGAGAGGCAACACTCTGAAAGCTGCCTGATATGCCTGATTCTAGGCTGTACTCGGAAGGTGTGGGTGACATTCGTGGACCGTGTCCTTTGTCATAGTCCACATATCCAGAGGGAGACAAATGAGGTGCTTTTTGCTTGTGACGTGGAGATGACTTTGAGTTGCCTGGACTGTATTGACTGGATAACGAAGGAGGCGTGACGGCGTCTGAGAACGAAGCCGGCGAGGTTTTGTTTGAGGCTAAATCGACGATGTACGAAGTCTCGCCAATACCTTCATACACATTGAGGCATGCCACCACGAGGTGATCATAGAGTTCAAGTGCCGACTCAACTCCTGGCCAGCGCTGCGACGCGAGATATATAGCCTCTTGAGCCACGTTGATGTCCTTCTCAACTTCGGCCTTGGGATGCTCCTTCCGTGTTTCAGGATATGAGAGGGCCCAAAGAATGGCGTTGAGTGCCATGAATAGAGACTGTGTGAAGGCCCAAGTGAGGTCGATCGATTTTGAGGCTATTTGGCGTCTTTGCATATATATGTTGAACACGGATGCATCGAAACATCGTCGTGCTGCGTCCACCGAGGGTCTCGGAACTTGCGGTGATGGACGATACAGAAACACGATCATGGTGTTGTATCGACCTTTGAACCAGGTCTCACTTAGTCCGCTGCCTTCATCATCTGTTGAGCCGGATACCAGCCAATCCTCAAGCTTTGCTTGCATTTCTCGGAACCAAGGATCCTGATCACTCTGAGGTTCTGGTCTTTTCTTTAGGTAGAGTTTGCGTCTGATCTCCGCTTGCAGTAATCTCATCTTGAAGAAATGGATCGCGATACGCTTTTTAATGGATAGAGGACAACCAGGGGTGACACCGGAATTGGTGATGAAGCGGTCGTCCACAGCCTCAAACCATCGGACGTTGATGTGATCGAAGGTTGTGCCGAACGCACTTGGTCGTCCAAGGCTATGCGCTAAGCCAAACTCCATGGACGTAATGATCCAGAACATGCGTCGCCGCATATCAATCTCAAGCACGCTGAATTGTGACCGGTGATTGATGATAGGCGCAATGGTAGCTTCCTCCGTAATTCCAAGCTCCTGACAAAGTTTCACTGCCAAGCCAACCACCCAGTACGCTGCGGTACGGGTGGGCGTGACGAGAGAATACTGGCCCATGAGGATAAAGCATTGCAGCGTTCCTAGATCCATTGGCCTGATAGCGCCTTCGAGGAAAGGTAGTGCCGCAAGGTAATATGAGTCTGCCAAGCCAGCATATCTTGTATCGAGCTTCTGCATGCTGATTGCAATGACCATCCGTAGAGTGAAGTTCATGTATGGGTCTGGAGATCCATAGTAAACATCATTAACAACGTCCCTGAACGTCGGTTCATGTAGTGTTGGCAGCATGTACTGAGCTTTCTGGTTGAACTTGTCCACCAGCTCGTCAGTCAAATCACGGCTGGGCAAGTCTGGTGCAGCAACATCACTGATCAAGGGATACACTTTGCTAGTTGGCTTCTCTTCTTCTTTCGAGAAGCGGTCTTTGATCTGCCGGGCTTTATTGTCGGGAACGATCTCTTTGATGCTTTTGGTGTGTGTGTTCTGCTTGGCCAGCTCCATAACCAAGCGGGTCATCTGATAAAGATCTATTGTTAGGCACCATGCCAGTCATAGATCATGAATCTGGGAGGGTTTCCTTACGGCGATACCGCTCGAAGGGCCTAGATACCTCGACTCGTCGTTTTCCTTGAACCTAACATAACCTGCACTTCGTATCATGCTCTCTGCATCGGGCGTCTCATACTCCGCTATTCCCAGTGAAGCGAGTTCGGCTTCCAGTGATTGCACTTTATTTTGCAGGTGTATGACATAGGTTCTCGGTATGTTTTTGCCCTTTGAGGTATCGAAGTACTCGCACACGGCATTGCTCCGCTCGCAAGGACCGCATCTAGGTAGACCTGCATCGCATCGAGTCTTCCGCGTCCGACACCTGCAGCAAGCAGTGAGAGTGTGAGCCACCTTTAAGCCCGCGGCATCGTCGTTTGCATTGTTAGCATTGTCAAGTGCTCGATCGACCTGGCTGGAAGGCCCGACGTCCACAAAGGATGGAGTTGCCATTGGGATTTCGGTTGATCAAAGGGTTGGACGACGATGTTGATATACACCATCAGGAGTTCGGGTGTCATGAATTGCGAGAGGAGGTAACGGGAATGGATTTCTTCCAGTGAACAGAGCCTTTAAGTGATGCCGGTTGAAGAGTGCGGATGGTATCAAATAAGAGTGACATTCTTGCCACAACTGCTTCATTGGATTATAATGTACCTCAAAGCCAAGCAGACGGAGATAAAGGGGTTGAATGCCTCACCGCCTTCGCAAGAAAGAGGGTGTGGAAGAAGAATTAAAGTAGGAAGTTTGGTCCAACCGTGTAAGCCTCTTCGTTCGCACTACTGCAGGCTCGATGGGATGGATTATGGATTACGGGCTTACCGTCGACTTCCCGAGTCTTTTTACTAGCACCCGAGAACCTTCCTCCGCGCAAGCCTTACAGGGCTCGTGGGGCGCACCCTTCGATCCTTTGCGCCTTGGCCTCCATGTGAGACTGCGCCCCATAAAGTCCTCACCGTACTTCCAGAAAGAAATCCCTTCTTTCGATTATGGCCTGGCCATCTAATTCCTTCTTCACCCAATGCTCTCGGTATCATATGTTGAACCTGCACGGCAAACCCTTTTTCTAAGCGCCTCCAATCAGGCCATGGCCAGAAGACCGATCTCCCGTTCAACATCACTATTTACCAACCGCTCCCCTCGTACCAGCAGGTTCGGCCTCTAATCCCCTACCTTCTGATAACCCATACGTGAGCGACGTGTCACGAAGAAAGCTTCTCGAAAATAAATTCTTGGTGGTAGGTCAAGCCATGTCTACCCTTTCTAGATTCGAGACTCCTTTATTGCGAGTCAGCCGACCAGTGTCAGCTTGCCAGAGATGTCGTGGGGCCAAAGTCAAGTGCGATGGTAAATTGCCCGCTTGCACGGCCTGCGAAAGAGCAGGCCGGAGCGCAGAATGCTCCAGTGCCAGTGATCTGTTTGCAAAAGGCAAAGAACGGAGCTATGTTGCCTCACTGGAAACGCGGGTTGAGAAGTTGGAAAAGCAGCTCGTCCAAGCCAAGGCCCGCAAAGCCTCCATGAATGCTTCTGGCGCGCAACCCTGGCCATCTCCTGAAAGCCATGCCGCTCCCAGGGTCAGTAGCAGAGGAGCTCAACGAAAGGAAGCCTCGAATGTAGACGACCTGGTTGCAGATTTTGGCTTCCTGTAAGTCGAGAAGCTTGAAATCCTCATGGCTAAAATTTGACAAGTCTATGATATTAGATCAGTCAACGCAACTGCGAGAGACTTCCATGGCTTCTCTAGAGAAATGTCATTTGCCAGGCTTGTCCTCTCGACTTCGTCCGTTCTTGACATGCCCAAGTTCGTAAATCATGTTCTTCCACAGAGACACGAAATTACGCCGTTAATCAAGCACTACCTTGAGAATATTCACGCACTTTACCCTTTCTTGTCGGAAAGCAGACTCTTTCAATCTATCGATGCGGTGTATCAAGAAAATGGTCGTCACGCTCTGCCAATCGATCGTTGGACAACTCGACTAGTACTTGCAACAGCGGTTGCTTCTCTGTCAACTAAGAGAGGTGACACACAGTACCAGGATGCTGTTCGCCATGCAGCCGCAGCTCTTGAGGAGATTGAGACTGTCGTTCACCCAGGCTCTATTGTGGGCATTCAAGCCATTCTTCAGTTGGTCCTATACGCTATGTTGAATCCTCGTCATTTCAACAGCTGGTATCTGATTGGACTCGCCTCCCGCGTCATGGTAGATCTCGGACTGCACCAGGATCCCCCTGAAGAGTTGCGTCTCAAACACTCTGAGCTTGATATGCGTCTACGTGTCTACAACTGTGTTTACGCATTAGATCGGTCAGTAATGCTTTTCATTGAATGCTCCTATGACATCGTCTCCAAATGACCTATGCGATTTGATTCCCTAGTACCCATTCAATTTGTGGCGTCGATTTTTAGGAATTTACTCTGATTGACCACGACTTCTGCATTCTGAACCTCTGTGCTATTTCACCAGGCATGCACTCTACTAAATCACTCGTTTTCCGCAAAGCGTGAGAAGTCGTTGTAGCACCGGCCTATTTGCCGAATAATTTGCGGGTATTACAGATGCACATTCAGATAGCTAAAACCCTACACAGATCTATCAGCTTGGTCCATATTCGAGCGTTCTCTTTTACGGATGACTCCGCCAGTGTTACACATCCGCGTCAAAGGGTGGGCTCACCAGACACAAGCTTAGTCTTCCTCCACGATCTCAATCCCGCAATCCATTTGAGCCATCTACGCCAGATTGAGTCACACGCGTACCAGAAGCTTTTTCAATCTAGGCGCCCAGCACTGGAGGAACCATGGCCGATTATCTCCAGCTCGATCGAAGATATGCACATATTCTGTAGCAAGCTGCCCGATCAGATCAAGAACCCAATCAAGAAACTGTTACGCTGCGAAGCTCTATACAGCAGTATCTTGATATTATCGCCACCTGATCTAGACGACGACCTTACCGACTATGGCAAATTCCTGATCTTCGAATATGCCGTCGAATACGCAGACTTGATGTCTTCTGTCGGTAGCGATGCGGAACAGTTTGCGTTTTACACCTCACATGATATGTTGAGGGCTTCTTTTGTCGTGAAACGCCTCCTTGCCTTGCTCCTGAGTGACTTCGCTCTGTTCTTTGGGAGTAGCGTATCAAGGCCTCCACCGCAGGCTCCGACGTCTTCTGGAGCTCCCGTTCTTCAACAGCGAACGACTGGCGAGATGCTGAGTAGAGCCTACAACTGCCTGAACCTATACGACAAGATTCTTGAGTATCTGGAGTTGAGGTTTGGCTACGCGGACCCGCTCAAGGAATTTAGGATGCAGTCTAGTGATGTACGACAACTATTAAAAGCGAGCTATGACAAATGGAACAGGAACCCTCCTACTACTGGCCATGATCATTATACCTTGGCAGGTCCTTCAATGGATCGAAGATTTGCTTAGGCTGAGTTTCAGATGTGCTTGGCTATTCTGGTGGACAAGAACGAGAAATCACGCCTGCATTTGCAGTAGGGTTTCACGTGTCCATTGACTGTATTAGTATCATGATGTCGGCGTTTATCTTACATGGAATGAGCTATACCAGTGAGATTTCATGCCCTGCAAATGAGGGCTAGAAACGAGGTTCTCTTTTTTCTATTAAAGCCAAGCCACGAAGGCTTCGATTCGAAATGTAGCTAGCGATAAGGGGAGATCCCATTGCGTCAATCAGCTTGGTCTAGGTGCTGATGACGATCTATATATGGTCTACCTTGAAGAAGACTGGGTTCTAGCAACACAAAATTATAGCTCTTCCACAGTAGCATTGCAGCAAACTAGGGGCCGCCGCTTTCCTCAAGGTCATTCCCGCCGTCACCGACCTGCTCGCCATTCACGGCCAAGCGATCCACACCAGCGCCCAGGTCAGATGCACCACGCTCAGGCTCTTTCCGCCCCTTGCCTTTCTTTGGTCCCCGCTTCGTCTTCCCAGCGCCAGCAACAGTAAGTGGGGCTTCTCTCACCCACCTCGCAATAGCCTCCGCCCTCTCAGTGCTGATGGGATACTCCTTCCCGTCTTCTTGTGCCCACCGTTTCGGACTATTACCATCTTGACCGAGCTCCTCTCTTCTTTGCTCCTCGGCTCTGCGTTCTCTTGCCGCTACGGCAGCCTGAAAGCTCGCCTCATCGTGCACACGCTCGTCAGCTAAAGCTTCCAGGATAGCCTCTTGCCTACGACGCTCTTTTGCTTGTTCCTCAGTTTCCTCTTTCTTGGTTGCGCCAGCATGGCCAGGCAATGGAGCAGGTGCACACAGTATCTCCCAGGACTGCTGGAGCCCGATCCAATTGTTGGCACGACGCACGACTTCAATCCAATCTGCGCGACTTGGTGAACGGGCAGCTAGGAAGATCGGATAGCCGTCGCAGACGCGGGCCAACCGGGCTACCATATGAGCGTGTCTTAGATGTTCCTTCGGGGACGTCTGGATGAGCGAATGACATAGCAGCAGAGAGTGGAGAGCATCTGTGAATAGTGGATGGTACGTAACTGCTTCGTGCTGCTCGGACTGTGCCATGAAATGGTTCGTAACGTTATCTGTGCTCTTCTGCACTGCGAAGGGCTTGCGAGGTACGATTGCTTGTGAAATCACTGGGTAAGGCGGGAGATCGTCAGGAGGCGACGATGAGAAAAGAGAAGAGACCGGGTAGATCTCGGGCAGAGGAAGTCCAGCGTATGGATTCTCGTAATGGCCACTACTGGAAGCACGACGATGACGGCGGTCGTTACCCTTGTGAGGAACGAGTGCATCAGAGAGATGTCCGTTACTCAAATTAGAGTTTCCGGACATTTCGAGAAGCCTACTTGCAGGAGGAGTTCCTTTTGGCTTCGCATAGCCCCCTGCTGCGGCGTTGACTTTTCGAAAAAATTCCTCGGCGATCTCTGCTGGTAGACCCGGTGTATAGTCGAAGTAGGAAAGAAAGCCCAGATAATCTCGGAGAGCCCGTTTGGCGTTGGTCTTTACTAACTTGCGCGCTTCTAGCCGTCTCTCATGAGCTTCTTTATCTGCAAGAGTCTGTGAAACTGCTGGCTGGGATGCTGATGCTCCTTGCGCTGTTTTCAATCCGTCTAGCGAGGCATTGACATTCTGACAAGCAAGGGTGAGGTACACGCCTGCGCGGTGGAAAAGCAATTGCGTTTCGAGACTACCTGGTTGATCTGCCTCCTCGATCTTGGCAGCCTCATACTTTCGATCCCGTGCGCTACCAGTTTTTCTTTCCGACCCTCCTAGAGCATTCGCAAGCTCTAATTGTCCCCTTCCTGCTTTGTGCTGTGCCATGGTATATCGGCAGACCGACAGTGCCTCTGTGAGATCACGTGCAGCACCTGCGTAGTCATCTTTGAAAATCCTCGTGACAGCCCTTGTTCGTAGAAGCGATCCCTCCGTGGGGCGATCTTGAATGACTTGGTCTAATTGCTCGAGTGTGGTGCACTGCGCAAGCATCCTGGAAGGAATCTTCTCGTGGAAGAAATGGACGTACTTGGCGTCAGTATCGTTTGCACTTCGTTGTAAAACGAGCTTTGCGACCTCCTCCAAAGAAGAGGCCCCCTGCATTGTAGCCACACTAGCCGCAATTTCGTCGAACTGGTATGCGCGCGACAGCTTTTGGGTCGCCTGCTCTCGCATTCGATGCTTTCTTTCTCTGCTCAATTTTGCATTGGGTCCACCACCACCAATGCCCAATCCCAAAGCAGCTGCGCCTCCACCACCTAGGATCCCGTTTCCCGCACTCAAAGAATTGCTCAAGGCGGAGGATGTTGTGCCATTGGCGGCGCGTACGGCGAGATCGGTTGCCTCCTCTACCAGACGCCGAACCTTGACCAGATCGAAGAAGACAGCCGGATCGATGGGACGGGGACGTGGAGAGTCATAGTTGCTAAAGGCAAGCGATTCCAAAACTTCAGGGGGCAGCTGCAGCCAAGGGCCGTGGAAGCTCGAGATGTCTGTATAGAGTATAAGCCCTGCTGTCTCAAACTCATAGACGACAGTTACATCTCCAATGCTTGTTACGGCATATGATTAAAGCCGAAGTTGATGGATCAGGGCTTTTGCTCTTGGCTGTGGGTTGCAGCGCGGTCAAAGTAGGAGCAGCACTGAGCGTAGACGGAGTGGCTGGTTTGTCAGATGCAGGCCCATCGATAGCGCCTGCATCATTGCTTGACTTCTTCTTCTTCGTCATACTTTGGACAAAATTTAACTCATTCACGAATGAAGTGATTTTTTCGCAAGAGAACCTCGATTCATTCAGGGACCGAGTCAGCGGGAAGACTAATCTAGCGGCGCTAGACTGCAACATTCATTTGCTCGCATCTCCATGTGAGGGATCCTCATAGTCATAGTGCAACATGGTCCTCGCGAGATACTGTTGAGGACTTCCTTACCAAATTCGCTTCAACGTATAGGCTGGCAGTACAACGAGTCTAAAGAATTATAATGATGCCCACTATTCCAACAATTAGGCGAAATGTTGTAGCAGTTGGTCTTGCTTCTCTCCTTGGCCCGATTTTCTGGCGTGACTACAGTAATTCTTGAGCTATGGCCCTGGCGGACTGCCTCACAATGTACTTGGCTGGGTTGTATCTGGCGGTCTCCTCCGAATGATGAGCGTGGAGATGCTCAGTACAGCGCAATATGAGAAGAGCAGCGATAAGAGAAGCTGGCTACCACAATCTTCTCCTCCGCCTCGCGCCGGCTCACGGCTACAGATGGGATCACATCCAGTACCGCAAAAGCAGCTTGCACAGTTTCCTGATGACGAGGTCAAGGCGGTATTTTAGTACCCTTGCTCATTAGACCCGACACCAACTGAGGCATAGCCAAACAGACTCTGATCCAACGATTTTAACCAGCTTGCGGTCCGGAAACAAGAGATCATTGAAAGGCGCGAATCTGTATTGGAAGCCCATGCCAGTGCCATGTTCTTAAGAGAGGACGTCCCCGCCTCATCGATTGCACAAAGCATGCTGAAAGATATGTCGCACGTTCACTCGAGTGGAGATCATTCAGTTTACGTCACTCTTTCGCCTCAAGATTGTATCAAGGTTTCCGATGCTGGTTGGGGTCAGCGACATGGCTTAGCTGGTGTCGAAAACCACAAAGTTCTTGCAGGCTTTGCTCTGTCATATCAATACGGTTTGCTATATTCTCTAAGAGACATAGCTGAAATACAAACCACCATGGATATTGTCCAGGCTTCTACTAGCTACCTACATGTCGGATAGTTATATAGTGGAGTAACGTAAATCATTATGCCTGGGGGAGTGAACTAGATTACCATACCCTAGATATCAAAACACAGCTTTCTTGCTTGCAATATGTGTTCATTTTAAATTCATTCGACTGCCATCGCAAACGATTAACTCAAACTAATATAGTATCTGAGGGGGTGACTCCGGCGGAGAAATGCCTAGACTAACGTTAGTCTGTCGGGAAAAGTTGCTCGGAACAGATGTTCCAAAGTTTTGGAAGAAATCCCTGCGAGGGTGCGAGAAGCTCGGAACCTTTTTTCAGACCAAGCACCCAAGGCTCTAGCAGCAGAGCCATGCCTGCGAAGTCAATGAAGCTAATAGCCTCTGAATCCTCAGAGAATCATGTTCCAGACTTCAACCCAGATGCTTTGCGAAGCTTGACCGAAAAAATTGAGAGTAATCTCAAGAATCAAGGCAAGGGAGCGGTCTCGAAAGACGCACCAGCGAGGCCGAAGACAAAGACTCTGAGTGCGAAGAAGAAACCCGGAGAACGTGCGGCCAAGGCTCCAGTGTCAACCTCCGCCGTCAAAGCTGCTAGTAATAGCAGTACGGCAATAGCAAAGCAAAAACCCACAGTGGCCCTAGAGACGAGCGGGGGAAAGAAGAGATTGCGAGATGGGCGTGTTAAGGAAGAGAGCTATGGAACGAAAGGGAAGGATGTCAACACAATCAAGCTTGGGACCAGGAATCGAAAATTTGGATCAGACAATGACACTAATATTGACGAGGAAATACGAGCTCTTGGGGGCACGAAGGAAGATGTCGACCTCATAGCGGATGTTATGTCGGAATCAGAGATGGAAGACGATGAGGCAGGACCGAGCAAGAACTTAGGGTACGGCCTCGAGAAGGAGATGCTACAATTGGTTCGGCAACTTGGTCTTGATAGAGCCGGTAAGAATGAATTGATGGTAGACTCTGAATTAGAGGAGGCAGATGAGGTAGAAGAACTAGAAGAGAACCGGGAACCTGATATGTTACCTTCAAACAGAGTAAGGAGTGGCATCAAGCTAGCTTTACAAAATGTGACGTCTGTTGACAAAGGTCAAAGATCTCTGGTCAGCAAGCAACAATACCCGTTTCCTAGTCTTTTCGATATTCATGCTGACATTGGTCTCGTATAGACTTTCCACCCTCAGTCAGAGTGGCATGCCGTTGAGCTACCCCCACTGCCTCTACCATCCCAAGAGACCTCCATCTTGCCTTTTGATTTACTAGACCGCCTTCACAATCATGCCAAGGCACTTCTGGAGAACGAAAATACGCAATACGCCAAATCGAATAGGTCCGCATCCTCTGCGCATCATTTTTATTCCGCCATCATGTCAACAGGTACGCTCTCGGACAAGATCTCGGCTTTGACATTGTCAGTACAAGAATCACCAGCTCATAACATGAAGGCTTTGGAGAGCCTTGTCAACTTGGCTGGTAAACGTAGTCGTGGTCAGGCTGTCGAAGTGCTGGGGGCTTTGAAAGATCTGTTCGGCCTTGGGAACCTTCTGCCCTCGCATCGAAAGCTCAAAACTTTTGCTAGCCAACCTGCTCTGTCTAATGCTTTTGATCCTATCAATTTCCACTGGACCTCTAGAGATCCATTGCCGAAGGAACTCAGGGAGATTCATCTCATTTCATGGGCATATGAAGACTGGTTGAAATCCATTTTCTTCAAAGTATTAAAAACCATTGAAACCTGGTGCAATGACGAGGTAGCATTTGCCCGTGGCAAGGTTGTGGACTATGTCTGTCAGCTCCTGAAGGAAAAGCCTGAACAAGAAGCTAATCTCCTCCGACTGCTTGTGAACAAGCTCGGTGATTCTGACAAAAAGATTGCCTCAAAAACATCATTCAACATCTTACAGTTGGAAGCCACGCATCCACTTATGAAGCCGACTATCATTGCAGCCATTGAATCAAATCTACTTTTTCGGCCTGGCCAGAGCTTACATGCAAAGTACTATGCAAGCATTACTCTGAATCAGACTATCCTGAGTGGGAAAGAAGGTGGTGTTGCGAGAAAGCTGCTGGATATATACTTTGGTCTTTTCATCAAGCTTTTAGAGAAACCGGAGGAAGCAAAGCCTGTAGCTACGCTGGTCAATGGCGTTAGCATCAACAAGAAGGGAGAAGTCCAAGGTGGCGGAGGATCTGCCGGAAAGAAGGCGCAGAAGAAACTGGCTGAAAAAGAAAAAGCGACCACTGTTGATGGAGATCTACAAGAAAAGATGCTATCGGCGGTTCTCACTGGAGTCAACCGCGCCATACCATTCACGGATACCAACGACGAATCATTTGAGAGACATCTGGATACGCTCTTCAAAGTGACCCATTCGTCAAATTTCAATACAAGCATCCAGGCGCTCATGCTAATTCAGCAGCTCAATGGGCCTCACCAAGGCTCGACAGATAGATTTTACCGGACCCTGTACGAATCACTTCTTGATCCTCGTCTCTTGACGTCCTCAAAGCAGGCACTTTACCTGAATCTCTTGTTCAGAGCATTGAGGTCGGATCTCAACGTCAAGCGCGTCAAGGCTTTCGCAAAACGATTATTGCAGGTGGTGACTATGCACCAACCCTCGTTCACTTGCGGTACTCTTTATCTCCTCAGAGAGCTTGAAGGCGTTTTTACCAACCTCGAGGCTTTCATAGATCAGGCGGAAGAAGACAGTGACGAAGAGGAAGACTTCCGGGACGTGCAAGAGCAGCTAGCTAACAGGTCAGCTCCAGATGATGGACCATCTCGACAGAAAACAAACAAGCTCGCAGCGAGATATGATGGAAGGAAACGGGATCCCGAGTTCAGCAATGCCGACCGGTCCTCTCTCTGGGAGGTCACTCCATTCCTGCAGCACTATCACCCTTCTGTCTCCTTATTTGCTACTCGACTTCTTACCCACAGCGAAATGCCTCCCAAGCCAGACCTCGCGCTAAACACTCTCATCCACTTCCTCGATCGCTTCGTATACCGCAATCCTAAAGCGACAAGCGCACCAAGAGGAGCGAGTATCATGCAACCTATGGCTGGCGGTGACACAAGCGCCTTGCTGATAACGGCTTACTCCAACAAGTCGAGCACTAGGCAGCCAGTCAACTCGGAAGCATTCTGGAAACAGTCAAGTGAAAAGGTCAATGCTGACGAAGTTTTCTTCCACAAGTACTTCAGTACGCTGGGTAGAGGCAAGGAAAAGGCTAGCAAGAAGAAGACAGAACGGAAACCGGACGCCGAGGATAGTGAAGATGAGGGCGATGAAGACGAGATCTGGAAGGCATTGGTGGAGAGTAGGCCCGAACTGGATGAGGGGAGTGACAGTGGCTTCGGGGGCGAGGACATCGAGAGTGATATGGAAGAGCTGGACGACGATGAGCTCGACTCCGAGCTTGGTAATGAGTCCGAAAGCGCCAACGGTGACCTTGCAGAAGGTACCGAAGGCCTTGCGGATCTTGATGATGAAGACGGCGAAGGACTCTTGGACAGCGATGACGAGGTGCCCAGCAATCTTGAAGAGGGATCCGACGAGGAAGTCACCTCAAGCAAGCCGGAGTCGGTCGTGAAACCAGAGGATGAGAAGCGCGGCAGCAAGAGGCGGAGGCTGAAGAGCTTGCCTACTTTCGCATCGGCGGATGATTATGCAAAGATGTTGGAAGAGGATGACTGATCGAGAAGCCATGCTCTGTAGTGTCGAAGCACCCGCTCATTTGAGTTCCAATCGAATCATCTTCCGTCTCACCCCTTCCTTATCGTGACCGAATCCATGGGGCAACAATGTCTAGACGAATGTCATCTCACAGGTCCTCCCAAGCATTGATGATTCTGTACAGGGTGAAATCCATGTGACTTTGAAGGGTTGTACAGGGTATGGCCTAAGCGTTACACCAATTGGGATGATTGCAAGAGTATCAGCTTCATGGTCCGTGAAACCATGTGAACGTCTCAATTGTCGATCTACGATGGGAAATGCCCCAAAGATTTAAATTCCTTTCGGAGAGCAAAGATACAACAGCATACATTCATCACAAATTTCCAGAGACTTTTGGTACATGGTGTCCAATTTAGAGTACACGCCACATATCTCACCGGTGCTTCAAACCCTCTAACCAAACGACCAACCTCTTCTTCAAAATGACACCGACCAATTTGCCTGTCCCCTCCTCCACAACACAAAGATACCGCAGTCCCAATTTGCCAAACATCTCTACCACATACTCCATCGGTGCCTTTGCACAAATACTTAGCGGCGTTCGATCGACGAAATTGCTAAGGTCGAGTTCTCCTTCCTCTGCCAGACCCAGTAGCCGCACGCGGTCGGACGAGTCCCACACTCCGCCGAGATTGGTGAGGCCGAAGTCGAGCTCCCCTTCTGCGAGATACCCTTGAAGCATCCCGCCTTGTACAAGGACAAGACCGGCGTCTAAGAGACCCCTCTCCTTCAGCTTATCAAGTTTTTGTTCAAGGACTTTGCGGGGTACCATGTTATCTTTGAGAACGTTAACGGTGATGTCTTCCATGGTCTGTTTTGGCGGTATGAGCTCTTCTACCAGTGTTTTCTCTCTTTGTACTAGGCTAATTGCATGATCCAGATCCAAGAACGGATGTCCGAGCACTGTTTGCGCCAGGTCATACACACCTTCGTGCTCCAGAGCATCTGCGACCCATTTGGCGACGAGTATGGCAATCATGTTCGGAACAACATACTCCAGCTCCCCGGTGAGCTCAAACATGATGACACAAAGGGAAATCGTCATACGAGAAACCCCTACCAGCGTTGGGAGATTAGCAAATGATCATTTTCAGGCAGGGATTCTTTGAAGGCCAAAGCGTCTAATTTGCTACCGCAAAATTAATTTGTGACCCAAGCTTTCCGCAAGGATCACTGTAGGAAGTACGTACCAGCGAGAAACGCAGCGGCACCGACCATTGCAAAGATACCGGGAGAAATTGTGGTGACCCACTGGCCAACGAGACGGCCGAAGAA